TATTGATAGTTGTAGACGAGCCTCGGAAAATACCCCTCTGTTCCGGAACAAAAAAATATGCCTGAAACGGGGAACTCAGACGAGACTATCTTCATTGGGAGATGGAGGCATATGGCTTGAATTCGTCTCTAGGTTCGGCGCCAACGAAATGAGTTGTCCGTGCGATGGAATATATGCACAGTTCGTTGAGAGGGTTGTTCCTTCGTGATTGTTAGTTTCGCAGTCACAAAGGTCCTACTTCGAAGCATGATATTTGATCAACTCTTTCGCGTCCAATAGGTTTTGCAACGTATGAGGGATGTTTCTGCTCTTGCTGCAGTAAAGAACAGCAATCTTGAGAAAGGCGTTCTCCATTCTTCGTGGCATTTCCACATCCCCTTGTCTTCATTACCCTCCCTCGGACGGCTATGGGCAAAAAAGGTCAATCCAGAACCAGCACGAACCCGGATGGATCCCAGTGCCAACTCTTCTTACTTGGAAGCAATACCTGTTGAATAGGTGAACATCACCTCTTTAGGCCCCTGGCAAAAGCAACCCGCCCTGCGCAGCCCCTGCTCTTTAATTTCGACTAATGCCGAACTGCGCGCAGTTGCTGCCAAGACAAGATTGCCGTGGGTGCTTGCAACCCATAGGTTTGAGCATCAAAAGTCGAGCTTTCTTGGGTATACCACGTGCGTATCTGTGCTTTACCTTCGCCTTCATGTCCCGTTTCATTTCTCGATTTTTTCTCCCTCTCTTTCTTTGCCAACCTATGTATAGTCTTGTCAGACTGGGTGATAATAGACAGGGTTTTTCGAGCTCATTACGACGAGGTTTTCCCGGTGCCCGAAGACTACAAAACACGAAACGTTTAAGTTTCTCGGAAGCCAGAAGGATGCTTGAACTGACGTTCGACTCCACACACCGGCCATACTGCCCGATATTCTATGCAGAGCTGCGCGTTTTCAACGCCAAGATAATGAGTTTGGAGCCGGTCGCCATCGTCAGGCTGCCGGTGAGAGTGCCCGCTGGGTCCCATGCTATTTTCGTCTCCGAGGCCGACCTCGCCAAACAACAGCAGTAACGGGCGCGCTCTCCCTTGTGCCGTTGGTGATGTTTCCGCCAATTTCACTCTTGTTTGCATTCAGAGCAGAGCGCGTTTTGTCAGATCCAGGCGGTCATCAGCGAAAAGCACATCTGGCCCTGACGCGTCAATTGAGGGAACGCTTGCACGGGACGAGGGATGGTATGAAAGCCGGAGAAGGCGGTGCAGTGTTCGTTTCACTCACCCACATAATTGATTTGAGGGAACGCTTGCACGGGACGAGGGATGGTATGAAAGCCGGAGAAGGCGGTGCATTGTTCGTTTCACTCACCCACATCACAATGTATGGGTGTGAAGCCGATCAAGCGACCCACCAGCAGGAGTGATGCTGCCGAGTGTCATACCGCATCGAACCATTTGAGATGAGATACGTCATGTTTTTGTGTTGAGGTTCACTGGCCTATACGAGTCAAACAACTGTCGGTTGCGTTAGCTGTTAAGCTTGAGGGGAATGTCACAACGCAGCTCCCAATGAGCTGTTCGTTCGTCATGCTGCCTGCCTTTGGTTTCAGCCTCCGTCATTCCTCTCGATGATGATCTTACCCCAGAGTGATCACTTGTAAATTCAGAGGTGTTCTACTTTTTTCTCTCCGTGGTTCATCAGTCCTACTTTGTAACGCGCATGGAATGAAACGAACACGACAAGCCATGAGTTCAGCCCTCTCTCGCCTCAGCGTCCGTTGATGGACTGACTCGATCTCTTTATATTGAAAACACATGCAATTATACCAAAAACGAGCGAGTTCTACTCTGATGTACCCGCTTTTTAACATGTGCGGGTGGGTGTGCATCCATAGTTGATGTCATTTGGTTCAATGTTGTGGGTTATGGCAAGAGACAAGATGTGCCCGAGGCGTCCGGGTGCGCGTTATGTACGATATTCGTGTGCGCATGGCCATCTATGTATTCTCAGTGTCCATGAATGTAGTTTGGTCATCTGAAGGTGTGTGTGAGTTTTTTGCTTCGACCATGTGTCATGGTACGTACGCATAGTGCGTTGAAGGCTGAGACTCCGACACAACACGAAAGATCAGAGCTGTTTACGGAGTAAACAACCGCTCAGCGGAGCGGTTGTTCTCCTTTCGAAATTTTACGGAGCGGAGCGGTTTTTTCGCGTGTTCATGCCACGGAGCGGACTGGCTAATTCGCAGCTTTGATTCCTCCGTAGCATGAACCGCGCGAAACCTAGGCCTTGACAACGGTGCACCGTGAGAAAAAAAAACGAAAACATTCGGAAATCCGCATTGATTGGCGGAGTATATGCGATTTCGAGCAATACATTGGGTTTGATAGATGGAAAAATGATTTTTCTGCACGGTGGGGAGGTTGCGCGTGACACCGCACGCGTCCTCGCTAACAGAACAGCCCAAACGAACGAGAACGTTGATTAGTTAGGTGAAGGGACATGGGCCCCTAACCAGGGGGGGGTGTTCTCATAGTCGTGCATGGCGTAGTCGTTAGACCATTGACCTCGCATCCCCCCAAAGCAGGGACGGAGCACGCCGGCTTCTCACCGGACCAGGCTCTCACATCACCAAGCGCGAAGCGCCGTGAGGTATTCGGCGAGTCGCATGAAGGGTGCGCTGCATCCTGCTTAAGGGTGTTCCGCATCTATTGCTTACTTCCCTGCGTACGGATGACAGCTGCGTATGACTTAATTTATTTTCTGGTGCTTTCATTTCCAGAGGCAGTTGCCTCGAGGGCGCTTGGCCATTTAAACACAACGTGGTGCGATAATCCCCTTTGCGCGGAGTGAGGGTTCTCGACCCCGCACTACATCCTCTGCCCGAACTACCGCAAAAAAAAAAAGAGGAAAAAAAAAAATCCAATCAGGGCGGGGGGGACTAACCAACTACAGGGACCATTGCCCAGATACCTCCTCGACCTATTCGTTCCAAACAGAAGCAGTTAATTTCTAGCTACTTTCTCTTTTTGGAGTTCGCCAGTCGGTGTCATGTAGGAAACACCAGGTGTGTCAGGTATTATTCGCCCCTCACACACATGTACAAGAGAGCACACACCAACACAGACAGACGGCCCTGCTATATTCGGTTAGATTCGAACTCGACAACCACTTACTCTCCCGCACTAGCATCTCGCGCAGTTGCACCTTTCACCTTCGCAACAGCCTGAGCTGCAAGCAGTTTCCCTGACTATTCACATCGTTCAACTGCTGATTTTATCTCCAGAGTAAGATCGGGCTTCGACATATATATGAGGAACATTATCATCTCAACACGGTCGGGCGTGAATACCTGCCGACTAACACACGAGTCCCAATCACCCATACCCCCTCAAGGTTCGTGGCAACTACGTAGTCTTGTCAATTGTCCCTGCAACGGTGCGCGTAATGTGGGCGGGGCGCAGGTGCGCACGTTTTTTAATTTGTTTTTGGTTCATGTCTGTTTACGGTATACGAAGCCCGTGCACATACATCGTGTCGTTGTGAGACAAGCACCGTGAACCCGTGAGTCCGTCGAAAAACCGACGCTGTCTAGCGGTTTTACCCGTGGGTTTGGGATATTAACCGTGGACTATGCGACCGAGTAGCCCAAACCGGTCCTTGACAAAACCGCTTGTTCGGATTGTTGGGAAAACTCATGGAGCGGAGCAGTTATCCCAGGACAAAAATTCTCGGCGTTGGAGCGGTATTCGTTACTCGTGTCACGGAGCGAAGGGGTTTGGTTTCAATGGAAATCTCCCGAAGCGGCTCCGCTCCGCCCCGTTCCGTAGAAAAAAAACACTCCGTGAATAACCCCGGCAAAAATATTGGCTGTCTGACGGAGTCTGTCTTGAGCCCAATGCCCTCTAGGAAGGGCTATCGTGATTCGCGTGCAGGCATGCTATGGAACAAGCGTAGTAGGATACATCAAAGCCTTTGGCAAAAATCGTGAAGTAGGTTTCGCCCAGCATTGCTCACATTAGCGTCAATGAAAGTGTGGTTGTTTCATCGGCCGCTGTTGTAGTCGTGTGCCTTGTAGTGATCCTGGGTTCCGTGGAAGCCAGAGCGGTGGCCGAATGAGGAAGGTATCCGTTGGCTCCCGACGGTGTAGTTATTGAACGCATTTGCATGGTTCCGTGGTCATGTACATTCGGGGACGAACCTCACAACAAGGTCTTACGAAATGTAATCGAGACTTCAAGGTAGTCACCGGAGAGGTTTTACGGTAGATGCGACCCAAGGGAAACAAGCGTTGGCGCGAAGACCGGCATTGGATTACCCGAGGTGTTGGGTCGTCCACGTCCATCGCAGAAAGAGTAATACCGGTCGAGGAGTTCTGAACCCGTTGAGGGCCTCAATCTCTGCCCATTTTGATGTATTTTTCAACGACCATGCGACCTCAATAGCACAGTTACACGCACAAAAATCGACTATCTCAGTCTAATCACGGCGGACACTTCCCCAACCATACGTAGTCACGGCCGCCCTGATCCACTCACACGCGCCCCCCCCACCACCTAGCGATGTCCGGGCTATTCGATGCGTGTCGTTACTCGTCATACCTAGCAGCTATCGATTCCCTTTGGACGAGCTCGTGCAAATAACCGCGGAGCTTGTGAAAAGGTTGCCTTTCTCCTCCAGTCGGTGCTGACACCAACACGATCGGAAAAAAATCGCGTCTATGAAAGCTGACAAGGCGCGACGATTCACATGCCCCACAATCGCTGGCTTAGACACAATCGCACCGGCTGGTTCTGGTATTTACCTCCATTCACTCTCTACATCCCTTCTCATGTGATGCCATTTGATTTCGTTGTTACTCTACCTACCACGTCCGTTGTTATTCAGATAGAGCATATCATATCGAAACAAATTCAACATCGGCCCAAGACTGTGCCGAAGCTGGCCAAAAGACGATACGGGGACAGCTAGGCGGACGTCTTCCTGGCCGAGCGACGTGGTGCCGTTTTCACCTCAGGGATTGTCTTGGTGGTGGAAGGAGTAAGTGTAGTATAGGCTGCGAAATTTCTCCAGTGCCTAAGATGCGAGCAGACACAAGACGGGGGAGATCCACATTGCTCACACCCTGTACAACTAGCGCATACGTAACACATACACCTACAGGAGCGGCTGAGTTCGACTACCAGGTAGTTGTAGTAAAACAATTACAGTAGTTGCCCAAGATTGCGACCCAGTAGTTCTTTGGAAAAAATGGTTGTCTGAGGTTCTGATCTTCTAGTTTGTCAACATGAATACACCTCAAGGTGCAAAGAGAGTACGCATTGTTTGTTAGGGCAGGACGTTCTTGAGACTCCCTCATGCGCTACGCCATGTTGGGATCGGCGGCCGTCAAGGGTCCGAGGCGTACCTTCCATGGCATATCGCGTGCGCAAAAATAAGCGGAGTCACATGCCTACGACTATATGCTGGATTCGCCGAGAACGTACACCAGCACACAACAACCAACGATGACACGCATCATGTGAGGCAAAGGAAGCTCGTGAACAACAAGCAACACCCGTATCAATGAACAAGACGTCGTCGTCGTCTACCGAAGAAGGGGGCCAAATCCGCTTTGCGAAGCGCAGGGCGTGGACGAAGGTCACAACGACGGGCGCATCCTACGACCGCGGTAGGTACAAAACCTTACCTTGACAGCCCCCAGGCTGGCGAGCGTCACAGCCACCGCTGGAAGCATGGCCCTAGCCGTCACGGCATTGATAACACCGGCAGACCGCGAACCTACGGCTGCCGGCGTGCTCACAGCGCGTGCCCCTCGTAGCAGCCCCTGGTTTATCGATTCGTGAATTGTAATTCTAACAGTTACTGGTTCGGGAGAAAAACGCCATGTGGCTAAACCTCGGCATGTTGGTGAGGTGTTACATGACACGAGGGTAAGTTACAAGGACAGCGACGGAAGCTGAGAAGAGGAGGGTGCAACATTCGCCGGCAAGAGACACAAACGGATCGATGAAAAAGAATATCATCCAAAGACTCCATGTACGCCCGCAGACGCATGTACGGCGCGCTGACGGGCACCTGCACGTGCCCCATGCTTCATATTTACGAGCAACATGCCAAGGACAACAGAGTGGCTGTACGGGACCCACATTTCGGAGCGCCGTCCTCGTTGGGAATTATGTGTGGCGTCCCGCATGGGCAGGGGTGCGAGGGTCTATCACAGCAAGCGCCAACAATATCCGCAGGACTAAACACGTAATTCTCGAGCCCACTTAATGTGGTTAGCGCCGCTCCCTCGCCACTTCCCCCTGCTACAAAAAATGACCTTTCTTCCCGCGACTCCCTGCTACAGACTAGGCGCACGAACGGTGGCCCAATCCCGGACTTGATGCGTGAGCAATGGTTTGGGACACGGGGTCAGCCTTCTAGACCCAACAAACGGCGTCTCGCTTCCTCCGCGACCGTGATTTTCTGCTGTTTTTCTCACCCAGGTGAAGGAGACCACGGTAGCCGTCTTGCTTGCTGCCAACAACCTGTTGACGTTCTTCAACGCACGCAGGCAGGTGCTGCACGTTTTCGTGTGGCCCTGCTCGGCCCCCCCCAAAGACGATCAATGTAGCCGGGCCGGAACATCCCGTTTGGCAGCCGGAGGAGAGAAGGGGCCAATGATCATGGTTAAGGATGATGATGAGGTGAGTGTAGAGTAACGAGGCTCTTTGAGGGACGTGAGTCGTGACGGACAGTCGGAGGATGACTTCCACCTATTTGAGCCTATTAACAGCTGAAGCGGATGGAGCTGCACCCCCTTGCAGTGTGGAAAACACCTGTCTTCTGCTGGGTTTGCATACGGCGCTACTGTGGCTTCAACCCATATTACCTTCACCATCCAATGGTTTCTAGACAAGTAGTGTACTGTAGCGTTGGATGTGCCGTTGTCCCGACCACTTGCGCAACTGCGAGGTGACACCAGCGTGTTTTGATTTGCGGGAAATGGAAAGGACACACAAGTGGCGGGAGTTACGGATAGTACCGTAGACCCTACTGTTGTAGCTCTACACAACGGTCTACACGGCGGCTGTGCGTCAGCTGTCGGCAGTCTAAGCCCCCCACGATCCAACGGCGAACCAGAGGAACCGCAGAATACTGCAATGTAGTGCAACCCATCACGATGTCGAAGAAGCATGTACCACTCAGGTACGTGTATGAGGGACACCATGGATAGTGAAAGGCATACTTCGAAATGAACGAACGGGCACCACCACGGCACCCTACGTTTTGCGCACAACAAAGGTCCAAAACCACCAAACGCAGGCAAACGAGTGATATTCCACCCAGGAAGCCTGGTACCTCATAGTAGTCGAACAGGACTTCGCGTTTGTGTTCACGCTCCGGCAGGGTCGGGTCGCAGTCTTTATCCCACGCGGGCCCGCCGGAGCCATGCGTGGCGATCCACTTCCTCCTGAATTAAACAAGCACGTCCGATAAGTGTTCCCATGAATACGACCCTGCCGTTGCTGGTGCAGCTTGTTGTTGACGTCGTCGTTGTCGGCACAATAGTTTCTCACACCAGCTGATGGCCCAATCTCTGGTCATTTCACGTTCTATTGACGAATGCTCCTCTGTAGCTTAGTGCAGTCCACCACAAACATCACCCGGGAAACACTAACGAAATCGCGCACTTGTTGGCATGGAGACCTCTTGTCTTCCACCAATTTTAGGCGATTTGAGGTACCACATGTTCGGCGGTGTGAGGTTCTGTAACATGAAGTTCTGTAACATGAAACGAACCAGAGAATTGAAATACACTTACACGGCCATGACAGCTCGATCAGCGGGAGCTGGGGTATACACAGCATTCGAGTAGCTGGAAGCACTGGTACCATCGTACCCCACCGAAGCCAGCGTCTTTTCCTGAGGTTTAGAGTAAAAACACGAAAAAAGCAAAACGTTATAGCGAAAAGATCGACTTGCAACTACACGGGGTTGCACGACAACTAGAATGCAACGAATTTCGCAAAACACAACATCGAAAATGATCACTCAAAGGCAGGTGACTGTCTGAGAACATGAGAAGAATACGTCCAGCAGGGACAGGAGCAGCGAAGGTGATGGACGAAGTATTTTCACTGCTCCTCTCTCCTTCCACTCCCTTACGTCGGCAGCCGACGTCGTGCTTGTGGGTACACCGGGAACATGACGCAAGATATTTCTTTCGACGGATCTACCCGTAGATGACTGGACCATTTACGAAATGGTCTCGATCAAGCCTTCCCCGTTCAAGAAGAAATGTCCACATGGTCAACCTGGTGATGAAGGAACACCATATCTTGGTACAAGAAGATGCCGGACGTGGCGTGCATGAGCCATTGGGGAAACTTGGACGTGATCCTATACCGTCCGTTATCAAGTGAAGTTGGACGGTCGCAGAGAGAGAGCGCGCGGAAGACAAAGGTAATAGGGGGGGGGAGAAGTGGGAGTTGAATGCAGTTCGATATTGAAATGAAATCGATGTACATAGCAAAATCGCCAAATGCTATTTCCCTAGGGTACTATTGAATGAGAGTGGACGCAAAGAACAAGGGAGTGAAACGAACGAACGGGTTTGTTAAGCGTAAACAAAACCCACTTTGTCTTGGCACGGGGCAAGTTAAAGGGTGGGAGATATTGTGCCACGTGCACACATTTTGACACCACCCTCGCTTTTAGTCGTGCGTTTCCTGTCACACATCACATCCCAAAAACGAAGACGTCGGTTCTGGCTACTCACGAGTGAGACCCGCATTTGCAAATGGGGAAAAGTGGGCGATTTGAATAGTTGACTGACCTGGCGGCGACCAACAACCCTGATGTCTTCTTGCCAAGACGCTTGTTCTCCTTGTGGAGCGCCTTTGCCTCCTTAGACTTGGGAGCATACTTGTGCACGTACGCCTAAGTTATTGATGTGCATGTCACATGGCGAAAGAGAACGCAAGAAGACGGTAGAACACATAGTCGGGAAATGTACATGGTATTCCATCGAACCCGACCCTGACATGCGCGCGACACAGCTTGCTCTACTGTTGTCCGCCTGCCGCACCTCAAATCGGTTTGGTCGGCCTTTGGGCCTGCTAAGCGGTATGCATCGAAAACGCGTCTCCCCCTGTGGTTTTCATCCACCTTGCTCTGTTGTGGTCTTGCCTCACCCGTGCCCTCAATTCCCGTCGTTCGTTACCTGGCGGCCCACCAGACGAGACCACCCGGGCTTGGTAGGAATCCCGTACAGCATCAGCTTCAGAGTCCCGGAATAATCCGCATTCTCCACCAGAACCTTTGTTGGACAACACACACAGTTGACGTCACACGGAGTGGTGGACATCGTGTCCAGTCACAAAAAGACAGACAGGGAGGATGGACGGGAAGGTGAGGCAGAGATTACGCTGTTGCCACCATCGGGTCCGTTAAACTCTGATCTAGTCTGGTCTGGGATACGAATGCCGTTGTCGGGCATGTCATCTCCAAACGAACGTGTGCGAGGTCGGCCTTCCTTCGGAAACGAAGGTTGTGTGTCTGGGACCGTTCAGGAAAGCCTTGTGGAATTTCAGGGAGCGCAAGCACATACTCTCAGCAAAATTATTTGGCGATCTACAGTAGTAACCCCCACCAAGAATCTGGGGTTCCTCTTCCATACCTGCTAACTGCAATCCGCTCGTTGTTTCGAACGCCGATAAACCGACATCCTGGACAGCCGAGAAACCGAGCCTCTACGCGTTTCGCGTCTCCGCTCGACAATGAAAAGCAACATCCTTGACCGCACCTAACATAAATGGAGGGTAAAAACGTTCCTGCACAACCAACTTCCCGACAGTAGCAACGAGTCGCCCCGATGGAACCCAGAACGCCACACGCTCCTAAACTCTGTCCATCTACCCTGGTCAGACCTTCAATGTCGGCACCGAGTTGGTGATGGCACGCCATATACGTGCAGGTAACCACGGATGAGAAACGTCGAAGGAGCACGCCATGGACGCCCTAGCGAAAATCGACATTGTAGCGCGCGTTCGTGATTACACACGGCCGAGTAGAGCAGATCTCTCTCTCTCTCTCTCTCTCTCTCTCTCTCTCTCTCCCCCTCTCTCTCTCTCCCCCTCTCTCTCTCTCTCTCCCTCTCTCTCTTCGTTTCCCCCGGTTCTACACAATCCATTCGAACTTGGGTCGAGCACACACAAGCCGGCCTGTTGAATCTCACCAGGCAAGGCGGCACGAAGGTGACCTTGTTGTGGGTGTCCGTAATTTCGTCGTCAAACTTGAATCGGAAACCGCTCTGGAGCGTTCACGTCGGGGAATGATGGCGACAAGGCAAGGCGGGGGGGGGATCAACTGTAACAGTTATCAAATAGCACAAGGAGCTGGGTTGTCAGGGGGGAGGTGAAAGCGGCTCCGTGTTTCTTGCAAAGAATGCCAAGCCAGGGCCTCGCAAGGAACCCAGGAATGGTACCAAGACATGTATGTGACTCGCTGGAACGTTGGCGGGGTCTTGGTCCAATTTTCCGTGTACAGACGCAATGCATGCACACGACGAAAACGATAACGCCAATAGTAACAACCCGCTGTGTCGTCGTCAGGCTACTTGTATTTGCCCCGGTTCTCGTATTTGTTGATTGGAAAAACCCTGACATTCGTCTAGCACGATGGAAGAACGATCTACGGGAGTGTGTGTTCGTCGCAACCCGTCCCCTCTGCAGTACTTAAAGAAATACTTGAGTCACACACGTATTGAAGTCGTTTACGTCCTCCTACCGTAGCCGTGACGGGCCATTCCTTGTCGAGCTCGAAGTCTATCGGCCGAACGTCCTTGTAGCGATCTCCAGCGACCCCTGGAAAACACGTAAGGAACGCATGGAAACAAAGGCTGGTGTGCGCGATATTTCATTTGTTGCAACAACAAGAAGGACACCACACATGTATTCACACCTGTGCCGACTCCACGTACCTCTAATGATGGATGGGCACAGGTCCTACTTCCAAGCTGACACAGCTTCCAACAAAAGCCTTTGGTTAATGTTTGCCGTAATACACATGCAACGAAACCTGCGACTATGCACTAGTCGAACGCGAAATCGGTTTCAACTCGAGAGACAACACGAGCATCGTCAGCATTGGCCGATATATGGCACGAGCTAACGAACCACCGCTCAAGTATATCTGCAGTGCCAGGCTCTACAGTACATTGACCGCCAGAAGCAGGTTGTCGAAACCCTACATATCGACCACAAAAGAAACTGCCCATCACCAAAGCAGGCGCCTGCCAACCACTCATGCATGGGCAGCTGTGTTGCTTCTGCGATTTCGAGGTTGGAGATATCTACACTCGAGGTTCTGATACTGTAGTAATCACCTAACGGTCTGTTTGTAACTACAGCTCAGTCTACACTGAGGGTGCTCGCACCATGGTGGGCAGACGGCACGTGCGCTGGATCCTGCCCGGTCACACAGGAGGCCGCAGCAGCAGAAGCGGCGGTGGCGGCGGCGGTGGCCGCGGCGGGGGGACGGCCGAGAAGTGAAAAAGCGAAGAAGACGGTAGTACATGGAGTTTAATTGCTGTCTAGCCCGTCTAGAACGGATTCAAGGCCCCAAACTCAGAGATGGAAATGTGGAGGCGTATCTGTTCGAATGCCCCGGTCTGGGTGGATTGCTGGGTCGGAGTGCTGGGGTCCAAGAACGTTGGCCGCGGGCAATCTTGTTCTCAGTAATACCAACGCGTGGTAGACGCAGGAGGAATATCATTTAGAGTGGAGACGTCGAGATGCGCAATGGAAGGTAATGGGAAAACACGGGGTAGGGTGTAAGTTGGCCATGACGGAGCCGGTTGGCTGTGGTTACAAAGTTATCATTCCGTGCTTCCGCCCAACTGCTCGCGGTAAATCAAGAGGAGGAAGGGAGGTCAGAGAGGGAAAAGCATTGCAACAAAAGTTCAGCGGGAACCTAGCCAAGAAAACTTAGGGACCGTTCCCCCAAAGGGTTGAACAACAGGTAGAATCCAAGAACGTATGATGCCGCACAAGGGTATCGAAAATAGGAACGCAAAACCAGGCCGCCGCGACCGTACAACTGGAGCGATGCGCAACAAAAGAACACAAACACAAGCGCAACCATGGATGAACGCAAAACGGCGATCGAAACCAACGCCGCACACAAACGACGGACCATTTTCTGAACAAGATCATAAAAAGTACGGGGGAGACCCTAACAACCTACAAGCTGGGCCAGCCAAGAAGCTCACTTTCGTTGTTTCGCGTCTCATGCTGTCGTTTCCACGAAAATAGGCTTGAAATCTAGTGGTTACTCTTATGAGACAGTAGGGAAAACGCAGATGCCAGAATTTTTCGAATCCGAGTTGATTTAGGTATTAAACGATCAATTGGCGGCGTAGTGGGGGATACTTTCGGTACTGAAATCAGTAAGAAAATGCTTTCACAGACAAAGATGAAATTTGGTGTGCGCTAACCTGGGAGCATTGCGAGAAAAATGATGGTAGTTACAAGGCTTACACCATCTTCCATCAAGACTTACGGCCTCGGAAAGAATCCGATACAAAACACAAGATGGTTACGGACATGTCAGGTTATCGCAAAATACATGACGATTTTCACGAGTTGGAATCTGAAATTTTGACATGTGGTTGGTAATACAACTGCTAGCCGTGCTTTTTAATTTTTTTGTCCTCCTATACACAACAAAAGGATTCCCATTTTTTCCTTTAATAGGGATACCTCATGAAAAAACACCAAAAGTATAAAGTACGGCTAGCAGTTGTATTTGTTGTACTATAATAATACGAACCACATGTCAAAATTTCAGGTTCCAACTCGTAAAAATCGTGGTGTAATTGGCTTTCAACCATTTTGTTAGCTTCTTGGCTAGCCCGGCTTGTAGAAGCAGCTATTGGCGACCGACAGGGTCAGTTGCGCGACCAATCGGGAGGGGGGGGAGGCGACACGCTCAGAGGAGGGAGCCTCCATGTTGTTTCGTCTCCACCTACACGTCTGCGCTACTCTTGCGTAGATGGGCGGCTCACCACGAAGTTCTCCATCATGGTGTCCCACCCGTAGGCCAGGTCAGTGTGCTGGACCCCCTGCGGAACCACCCTGCCAGATGCTAGCCCCTCTTTGTCGTCCAGCTCGGGGATGAGGTGGGGCGGCGTGAGGGCGCTCTCTAAACCAGCGTCCGGGCCGTTCTCGGCCCACACCCAGATCATGTCTTGAGCGACCTGCGATAGTGCGGCGTGACAGGCAGCATGGACGAGGTCGGTGGAGACAAGCATGCATCACCATACAGCATGCCTGAGAGAGACAGAGATGGAGAACTGCGGGAATGACCACGAACACGCATTATCCTTGGGGATGAGGTGGGGCAGATATCCTTTCCAGATCCAATCTACTGCCTACCGGTACTGTAAGATTCAAACGGAAAATACCACCGGAGGGTACGTACAGCACCCCTGAACATGTGATCAACCCGGTGCCGCATCCGCGGGGGAGAGCAGGAAAGCGAACACCGGAGCCGATGCTAACGTACTGGCTCGGTGCTTGATGCTGTTGTGATTGCGGTGCGTGTGGTTCCCAGTATTGGGAGTGAAGGGTGGTTCGTCTGCTGTGTGCAAAATTTCGCTCAAAGGCAAGGGCTTTCGGGACTACAGCTCCGATCACAGCTCCGATCACATCTCTCTATTTGTAGTACAGAATAGTAAAACTTATCACGATTTTTATGCACTTTGTGCGATAGTGGATGATGGTCTCGATCTGGCGCGTCTGTGAGGCGGTTTCCCGTCAGCGTTTTCGCATCTAGCGCGGCTAGCATATGCGCTTGCTGTATGCTCTGTCCAAGGATGAGGTGGAGAAAATGTGCCAACAGGTATTGCTTGCACAGGTACATCCTCTGTGCGGACGGTTGCTGTCGGAGACAGGCATGCACACCTGCTCAGAATCTACTGCTGTTGCACAGTCTGCTTCTCTCTGCATAGCTGCTACTGCTGTACAGCAGTAGTCCTGTTCGTCACCCTTACATATACCGCGTCCCCATCCCTGTGAGCCCCACACATAGACCCACTGCTGCACCATCCTTGCCGCCGTGATTTATGGGTGTACACGCATGCTTGGAAGATCTTTGACCGCAGAGAGCCAGTTGTGGAGAAAAAAACAAAAAATTCAAATTAACCCAGTCACGTAAGGGTTAAGATAGAGTTCCTCTCAAGCGTTCAGCATGCCAAATGCTTTCTCGCGGTGCAGACACGCCGGATTGACTCCGAGATCACAGGCGACTGCATTCGACGTGACAGACAGCGGTGGCTGGCCAAATGGTGCATAGCCTGCACCCTCCGGTACTCAAAGCTCGTGCCTCCGCCCGTCGGTCGTCGCTCGGCCTTCTTGTGATGGGTTTCAAAGGACAATCACAACATCAACTACAACAGCAAAAGCAATGTCGGCACCCGGTTTTGGAGTGCGAAACATCGCCGATGTTTGCTCACCGCAAACCCTCCTTAACACGTGTAAGCTTGTCTCTTCACCGGTGCACTTGGGTGTACCAGCGTCGGTGTTGGTGACACCAGGCGCGGGTATGTCATTGGCATGTCGCCAGGCGAGGTGTACCTGTGTGGGGTAGACCTTGGCACACGCCTTGGGCTGGGCCTCGTCCTTGCCTCCCCTGTCGCTCTGAGGGATGCTCAGGCACTTGCCGTCGGCGTCGAAACGCCACGCGTGGTACGCACAGCTAGACTCGTCCGGAGAGGCGCGGGGACAGACGATTGGCGGCCAGGAGGCCAGACCAAGGGGTTTGGGGGGGTCAGGGCGTCTGATCGTCACCATGCCAGCTTTACAGCTGGGGCGTTGCCTTCGGCGGCACAGGTAGTCGACAGCGTCGGTGTGATGCACAAGGTTTGTTGGTTTCTCTGCGGTTCACTGGCCATCCTCTTCTCGCGTTGATATATCCACTGATCGGGCGGCCCACGCCGCAAACAGCCAGTCACTGTTGTGTTGCATACACAAGAGATATTTGTCGCACAATCAATGACCCAAACGAGTGGTTGAACTCGAAGCGTTGGAATGGGTCGGCACGAATGGCGCAAAGAAAAAGCGATGGTCACGGCACATACGACAGCCTACGTGCCACATAGTGAATCGTCATTGGCATGGGTTCGAGTTTCTCACTCACAGGAGAGAGCCGTCGTCCTCTATCCTCCCCTCGGTGAGTGGTGCCGCTCTGTGAGGGCAGCGGTCATCGAAGCACGACCAGCGACCCCCCTTGTTCCGCCACACCACCAGGTTCTTGCCCAGTAGCTGTTTCGGAACAGCGGCAGAGGTAGCGCGGCACGTTGGCGGTCCAAAGGAAGGAGGTACACGCAGGGGCAGTGAAGAACAGTTGCGGCTATCAAACAAAGGTAGCATGTTGGGGGACTCACAAGCATCACGAGCGCAACAGAGATTTTCGGTCATGTTCACTTCGCGTCGCAAAACCGTGTCGGAGACGCAAGCAATGATAGCGTCTGGCGCAGCAGGCACAGCGGTCGTGGGTGACCAGGGATGCACATAATGAGATATCCTCATCAACGTCGACCTGCCGGTCCGCACCATTAGCGTGTGGCGGATTCGGGGGATGTGATCGGCTCGCGTACCAAGGCCTCGCTCTACCAGTACTCTCCAACCAAAAGGGAAACTCTTCGCGCATGACCCAAACCAATGTTTCTACGTAGGCATCCCCCCTCCAAGAGCACATTCCAGCATGGGTTTCAGCATGGGAGCCTAGGTGTCACTCCATGCAGTCCCACGCCGTGTTCTGTGCACAACCGAATATGGATCAGTTCCTTGCCGCATACATGCCATTTCTTGTGTGGAAAGCGTCTTATGACAAACTAATCTATGGAAAAGTCACGCCGTCGACTTGTCCCACGACGGCATGTCTCTAGCTCCGCTACAGCGCCCCTACCTGAACAGGGTGGGCCCTCCCTGAGTCCACGTGGTCGGCCGCCAACACCGGATACCACTGCACAAACGTCGTGGCCGGAGCGAACATGAGGGAGGCGGGTGTGATTCGGTTCACCTGAAGTAGTCTGTTGTACATGCCTGAAGTACGTTAGATAGCACACCGGTTCCAATGGCTGCCTAGCTTTGCGAGCCAAACTGACAAGGTTTACCGTCACACCGCCTAAATTCATTGTAGCGATCCCAAGCCAAACGTCAACATTGAGCGCAGGTCCGGCAGTCGATGAAAATCACACTAAAACTGTACAGATAGAGAGACAAGGCGGCCCGTTAACTTTTTGTCCGACTCTAATGTACATACATCAATGATGACTTGACTGAACGGAAATAACGCGGGCGGGGTATTGGCACTTTGCGCGACCGCCGCCGTGGGCGATTCATAGGAAAATAATGTGTGGAACACCATGGGCGAAAAATGCGCTGTGCCTGACATTCACTACTGAGTACCACCATCGAAGGACAACAGACACACAAGTACATCCTGCCCGCCTGTCATCTTCAGAAAATATTTCGTTCAGATTTTAGTTGCTTCGTGCGACCATCAAACAAGGCCAAATATGTGTTTATCGTTGCTTATTACTATAGCAAAAATACAACGGCTGCGACCGACCCTCTAAAACGATAGCGCCGGAAGGGTGGTGACGAGACGTGGGTGGGTTGAAGACGGCAAACGCTTGATAGATTGTAGTTCGAGGGAACGCAATGAGAATTTAGGTACGAAATTTCGCTTTGATGCGCTTCGTGGTACAACGTTGGGATGTGTAATGCTCTGGCGGTACTGTATTGTTTTTTGGAGGACACTTCAAGATGCTAAGATCTCTGGTCAATTATTACTGGATATGCGCTACTCACCACGATGAAAGCTACAGATAGCACCGCGTTAATACTTGGCCCGGAATAGTCTATTGCAGGTCGACTAATGCCGTTTGCCCGTCATGATGCCGGTGAACTCGGCTGGCACAGCTTCAAGCCGGCATAATACTGGCAGTCTAGAGGTCCTTTACCATGCCGGTTCGGGGAGTTGGTGGCCCGTGAATCATGCCGGTTCTCAAGATTGCTTGCACACACAGCACACCACCACACCACCACACACACACTTCGAGGCAATATACCCCTACCAGCTGTACCCCGCATCATCAGCAGGGGAACACCATGTCTATAAGATGGCGATGATCGCAGCGCATGCCTCTATGCCAACCCGACAGGGAGACATGAGGGGCTACTTCGAGAAGATCTGATGCTAGTTTTTGAGTCGATTCAGCATCAGTAGTTTGGTGTTTGTTCGGTGGAACCTGTTGGTAGGTGTGTGGGGTACGGTTGTCGTTGATAGCTGAACACCAGCAGCCTGACCATTTTATGTTTGGATTTCCTCTGTTGTTTTTTTCGTGTTCTGTGTGGGCGAGTATTCGTCGGTTATACGGCACGTAGTACATGGGTGTGTGAAATGTTTTATTATCGAACTGTCTGTTGCTTTGTGTTCTTTCTCAAAATGCGTACGAAATAATTTAGGGGGTAGAACCAAAGATAAGATGCATGAGGGATGAGCTAACAAAGGACCCTTCGATGCACGCGCCTCTGAAATCTGGTCGGTCGCAGCTTACCAAAACCTCCTGTCACAGCATCCACTGTCACTTTCCCATCACCTGATGCTTGCGGTGTGTGCTACACGTTTTCGTATTGAATGACTCGACGGTTTCCTATTTAGTGCCGGTACCGGCATTATTGCGGAATTCTGTTTGGGCTTTCCTGGCTGCGAGGACGCATCAAACGGTGTCACCGGCGGCCTCCAACCACAGCACACCGTGCGGAAAACTCGGCCTTCGGTGTGCCGAACCCAACGTTTTTCAAGAAATTGCAGGTACTCCGTCGATTTTTTACGGATATCCGTGCGGTTTCGACGTTTTTTTCTGACCGAAAACCTCAACGCCACGGGTTCGCGCGGTTGATGCTACGGAGTAAACGAAACCGCTCCGTGCAAAAAACTGCACTACGGATAAACCGCTCCGTGACATGAACGAAAAAATCGCTCCGCTCCGTGAGACTTTTGCCCTCGGATAAACCGATCCGCACCCCTCCGTGATATTTTCAAATGAAAAAAAACGTCCAGTGGAACTTGAAAAAAACAAAAACGCTCCGCGGAGCGGTTCTACTCCGTGCACAGCCCTGGGAATTCTCAACCCCTCAGTAATGCCGCAACAGACATTATAGAGGCCGATTCTACACAATGCCGGTCTCCCGCTATAATGCCGGTAAATTCGGCTGTCAACCACAGGTATTATATCGGGCACTGTACCACCACGCCGACCATATAGGTTTTGGTGTAGGCCTCTCGGCTGAGCACCTGTGGCCAAGCTCTTAGATTTTGGATATTCTAAGGGTCAAGCTGTTAACTGCATAGTTCTTCAGCGGTGGCGCGTTGTGTACACGAAAACTCACGAAGCAGCCATTTCTAGCCCAACCTCTGCCAAAACAAAAAGTTCCCCAAGTGCGGGCGTCATCTCTATATCTCTATGGACATGATTCGTGAGAAAACTGCAATGAAATCACGAAGATCAACTCTGATGTTTGGGGACGACGTGACGTAGCATAGACTACTTATGTTTCGGCCCGAAACGTTGCGAGAACGACCCAGGCGCAGGCTATTTCACCGGTCCCCAGCGGTGCCGGTTCGCAAAAAAAAAAAAATTGCCTCTTTTATAAAATCACCATTCTTCAAAAAAGGCGTACTACTTGTACTTGAGTACACACAGCTCTAGTCTATGTCGACTAGTCACAGGTACATACATACATACATAGCATACACATCGGCATACCCTGTGTACAGCACAACCAACCTCCTCCGATGGCAAAGCAACTGCTGTGTATTTGCTCCAGTAGAGCATGTCGAGAAGCTGATGGCATGCCCAGCCTTACCCTACCGTCGGATGACCGGAGGGCGAGATGGCTGAGATGTTTTATTTAGGAGGCCAAACAGAACTACACGAAGCTTGGCGGGCGGGCGTCTCTCGTTCATGTCTCCCCAAGACCATCAATTGAAAGGCAACAAGCCGAATCAGGGCAGTAGCGGTAGCCCTCCGTTTGTTGGCGGACGCAAGGAAGGGTGCTGTCCCAGATCACAAGGGAGGCGACAGCAGGAACCTTGGGGATGTTTCGGAAGGCCGAAGCGCCGGCCGAAGCTCGGTGTGCTGCCTGGGAAAACGAAGCCTCGAGACAAGGAGCTGGGGCATCGGACATACTTGATAAATTGCGGCTGAAGGACGAAGGACGATGTCATCTCTTCACTGAGAATAATGTTGCTGGTGCGGTGTGTGGTGGGAACGACGGCAGGCAGGCGTGTGGAAGGCACAGAGTCGGGGGGGGGGGGCAGGCGGGAGGGGAGCATCAACCACAAGATCCTGAAGCGGTTGCAGCCAAGCGCAGCGCGTAGTATCTGTGATCCCGTAAGAGCACCGTCGCTTCTGGATCGTGTTCGTGCGTAGCCTAGAGGGGCTCGCCGCGTCCGGGAGTGTGTTCGACAACGCTACCGTCGCTTTTGTGATGTGGGTGGCGACCATTATTGAAGCGAAACAAGTAACATCACTTCGGAGTGAAGAGATGACATCGTCCTTCGTCCTTCAGCCGCAATTTATCAAGCAAGTCCGATGCCCCAGCTGGTCGGAGGCTTCGTTTTCCCAGGCAGCACACCGAGCTTCGGCCTTCCGAAACTTCCCCAAGGCTCCTGCTGTCGCCTCCCTTGTCTGCTCGTCCGTCTGATAGAGGACAGAACCCTTCTTTGCGTCCGCTAACAAACGGAGGGCTACCGCTACTGCCCTGATTCGGCTTGTTGCCTTTCAATTGGTGGTCTTGGGGAGACATGAACGAGAGACGCCCGCCCGCCAAGCTTCGTGTAGTTTTGTTCGGCCTCCTAAATAAAAGATCTCAGCCATCTCGCCCTCCGGTCATCCGACGGTAGGGTAAGGCTGGGCATGCCATCAGCTTCCCGACATGCTCTACTGGAGCACATACACGGCAGTTGCTTTGCCATCGGAGGAGGTTGGTTGTGCTGTACACAGGGTATGCCGGTGTGTATGCTATGTATGTATGTATGTACCTGTGACTAGTCGATGTAGACTAGAGCTGTGTGTACTCAAGTACAAGTAGTACGCCTTTATTGAAGATTGGTGATCTTATAAAAGAGGCAACATTTTTTTTTTTTGCGAACCGGCACCGCTGGGGACCGGTGAAATAGCCTGCGCCTGGGTCGTTCTCGGAATGTTTCGGGCCGAAAAATTAGTCTATACAGAACGCGCAACCACTCCAGAAACTCTTATTTCGGCCGAGGCTCGTTCCTTATTCTATTGTGTCTTCGGGTACCCGCACGCCGACTATACAGGTAGTACTAGGCTTCTTGACTGTTCTTATGGTCAGGCCTTAGATTGTGCATGTTTTTAGTCTCAACGTACTGTACGTGCGTAGTGGGGCGTTCTGTATGCACGCCACAACATGCGGGACACCCTCAGCAGTTACTTCTTCGGAGCGTGTGTTCTCACCTCTGGCTATGGTTGCATACTTACTTCTGGTTCGACCTCTGTGTTTCGGAATCTGACTAACTAATACTTTCCAGACTGTACACAAATATTGTCAATAGAACTGTGTTTTTCGTTGGCTGAGGTTCGCTTTTCATGTCGGCATCATTTCCCACGTAACCAGAAACCACGGAACAATACTGTATTTATTGGGCGGTAACTGGCCACCACGGTAAATTTCGTTCGGTAACTGGTCGCCGCGGTAATCTTCTTGTACGGTAACCAGCCACCACGGAAATGCACAGAAATGCGCATTTTCTTCGCATTTTCTTACGGTACAGTAACTGGTCACCACACGGCATAAATTGTACAGTTAACCGCACCATGGCACATCGGGCCCTGTTTCGTTTGCTTGCTTTGAAGTGTTCCTTAAGTATGTGGTCACCGCACAACAAAAATGCGCGACACATTCACCGAGCATCACGTCCGTCAACCAAACCAGTCGCCTAAAAAGAAGGGTGAAAAC